AAGTTTTGGTTCAGACCCATGTCTAATTTCTATTTGAGAATTAATGGAGCAGTGGGTGTGAGCATGTGTAGATGGGGCCTTGTGAATTATTATTTGGGTTTCTTTGCTTCCATCATCTGGTGAAGGAAAACTTGACTCCTCTTGCTGTGTGGGAGCCTAGAATTGATTGCATTGTGCATGTTACATGGCATTTGAGTGGAAAACGATATGATGAATGGGCTCAGTCAGTGAGGGTGAAAGTCAGGCTCATTTGCTTGAAATGAGTACAGCAAGCCCGTTGCAGTGAAACACTCCCAAGTCTATTTCCAAACTGTAATGCTGGAGCCAGCAAGCTACTTTGTCTACGGTGCAGCCTCCGTAGGTGATCAGGGTGCATTGTGGCTCACCGGCCATAAGAATTAACAGGGGGAGATGCTGATATAACCCTGTGCATACCCAAGCTCACCCATATAACGATGAGTGAGGCAAAGTACTTAAGCATGTGAAACGTCCTATTGCCTTCAGTGGGGCTGCACTGGTGCTTAAATGCTTTGCTGGATTGGGCCTGGGAAGGCTTGAAAAATAAATGCATTTGGGAGGCATACAAAAGAACACAGATCTTCATCGGCACAATACCCTCACCTTTAACCTCTCAGAATACCCTGAATGACCTCTCAGGAGGAGTGTCAGCCTGTGTTAAAGACAGTAGCACCTTTTCCATAATAATATCATTGCAGCATCCACATGGCCATTCAATAGGATTAAAAAATAAGGCTCTAAACTCTGATGCTTTAAGGAAATAAGACATCACACTCACCAATCAGAATTTGGGAGAAAAGTCCCCTATGAGCAGATTATTCTAGCATTGTCTACTACTGGGTTTCTTGACCTTGCACTTCAACATCTGGTATGAGCCATTATCATAAATAGGATACTGTACTAGATGATCTACCAGCCTCACCAGTATGCTATTTCCTATGTCCCATGCGCTGTCTCCTCTCTCTATAGCATCCATGCAAAGCCAGACATAATCTGACCCTATATTAGAGATGGGCAAAGTCCAGGTACAGAGCTGAACGCTTCCAAAGGCTAAGATAAAGCCCGTCTTTGTTTGGAAGCTCTCTTCACCAATCTGCCTGCGCCTTTCCTTCAGACCATTATTTAATAGACAGCTATTGCCACACGAGGTCATAAACATATTGTATAAAAATAGGCAGTTATAAGTATCTTGACCTACGTCTCTAAAAGGATGAATGTGATCAAGGTATTCACTTACATTTAACATGAGCCCAACTGCATCAATTTTAATTTTTTTAAAAATCAGTTATTCCCTGCACCTCCCACCTCCCCCAAGAGCTAACAGATGGTATTTAGTCACTTGCAGCAGGTAGTTATCAGTGAGGGTCACATTTTCAACCCAGTGCAAAAGACTATCTGCCTCACTGCCTTTTCATTGATTAGTGGCCAATGGTTAGTGCATTCCTCAAACTGGAAAGAAACAATGTAGGACAGGGGTGGGCAAACTATGGCCCGCGGGGCTGGATCCAGCCTGCCAGCCATTTTAATCCAGCCCTCGAGCTCCTGCTGGGGAGTGGGGTCTGGGGCTTGCCCCACTCCGGCGCTACAGCTGGGAGCAAGGTCAGGGGGCTGCTCTGCGCGGCTCTGAGAAGCAGCGTCATGGCTCCCACTCTGGCTCCTACACATAGGGGCAGCCAGGGAGCTCAACTCTGCATGCTGCCCCTGCTCCAAGCACCACCCCCGCAGCTCCCATTGGCCGGGAACCGCAGCCAATGGGAGCTGCAGGAGCAGTGCCTGCGGACGGGGCAGTGTGCAGCAGAGCTGCCTGGCCGTGCCTCCGCATAAAAACCGGAGGGGGGACATGCCACTGCTTCTGGGAGCTACTTGAGGTAAGCGCCATCCGGAGCCTGCACCCCTGAGCCTCCCTTTGTGCCCCAACCCCCTGCCCCAGCCCTGATTCCCCCTCCTGCCCTCCGAACCCCTCGGCCCCAGCCTGGACCACCCGCCTACACTCCGAACTCCTCATCCCCAGCCCCACCCCAGAACCCGCACCCCCAGCCAGAGCCCTCTCCCCTCCCACCCCCCTGCACTCCACCCTGCCCGCCCCAGCCCGGAGTCCCCTCCTGCACTCTGAATTCCTCATTTTTGGCCCCGCCCCAGAGCCTGCACCCTCCAGCCATCTCCCTCACCCCCTCCTACACCCCTACCCCAATTTTGTAAGCATTCATGGCCCTCCATACAATTTCTATACCCAGATGTGGCCCTCAGGCCAAAAAGTTTGCCCACCCCCTGCTCTAGGAGGAAGAGGGAAACACAGGAGAGGCATTGTCACTTAAGCCACACAGTATCCTTATTGCCCATTGTGCAGGGTGTGTCTGAGTCACAATGTCTCTAGGGGGGGCTCTCTTTCAGAGGTGCTGTTTATATGCTATCACTTAATCAGGGCTAAAAGCACACACTAGCCATCTATGCATAGGCAAACTGTAAATTTAAGCTTTATATATGTTTGCAAAATCAACAAAACAGTTGAGTGATGCAGGTCAGCCTTTGTAAACTTTTCTCTTGCTTGATGATTCACAGCAAGTATCCGCTCCATCCTATTGAAAAGTTTGGGCCAAAAATATAATGGGAGTTAGTGCAATGGAGTCAGGTGAGAGCTTCAGAGACAGCGCTGCCATTGGGCAGGAAGTAAGTTTAACACATAGCAAAAATGTTGGAAGGTTAGTGAGTGTGTGGGTTTTTTCTTTTTCTTTTTTAACATCAGAGTAATTGGCAATTGATTCTGTGCACAGAACACTGGGCAATATCTGTTGGAACAAGAAGGCCCCTTTATTGTTGTGTGGAGGCTTTTCTTGCAGTAGTTTTGTTCACTGCAAGTAACTTTTTCATTTTTTATCTTGAGTCTTGTTTTATTTTCACCTGTTGAATACAGTGCTACAGTGCAGTTTGTTTCCTTTCTTTTGAGGGCATGAAGGGGGCATGGGACAATTAATTTGAGGCAGTTTGTGTGATTGATGCAATATATAGAAGGCACCTTCTGGGTTTGTTGCATGTTTTTATACACCTTTTATACACTGGTTTTCACTGACTATGGGTTGGATCTGAACACCCTTCCACAGGGCCCCAGGAGATGGGTTATGATAGCCCAAGGTACCTGTAACTTCAATTTTGTTTAAGGGCCCACACCCAGCCAGTGTTGCACCAAAAACCAAGCACACTGGCCAGGATGGAAGCAAAGTTACAGTGTGGGGGAGGGGGAAGGGGGGAGGAGAGGAAGAGGTTGCTGAGTCATTGCCTGTTTCACTAAGGATCCTTGACACAGACAAAAGCTGATCTCACCTGGTGTAATGTTACCTTTGCCCTCCACTGTCCCTTGGGTGCTTCATCCCTCTGTGGAGCAGGCCATGGTAACATAAACAGGTAGAATTTGCACCTCCTTACAGGAGAGTGAATCTAGTTCTTTGGTGTAGTTTTAGGGCTGAATTTCACTGCGCGTTCTAGGTGCTCAGCACCTTTGAAAATCAGGCTATTTTTACATGCTTATTTCCTGCGCTGTTTTCTGGTCATTTCCCTTTCACACTGACAGAAAAATAATTCTAGCACTGCAATATTACCAGCAAAGATTTAGGGCCACGATTCCCATGTGTTGCCTGTCTCTGTGTACATTTATACCTTCATCACTAAAAGCCCCTGACATTCTGCTTTTCAGCACTTTGTGTGGCTAAATGGTATTCTCCGCTCAATGCTTTACAGCAGACCACTCCTTACCATGGGAACCTTTCATTTTTCACAGAGCCTGGTTCATAATATCAAACATTCTGGTTTTCAAAGGTGACCTGGAAAGAACAAAAAATGACTGAAAATTAAAAACTAGTTTGTGCGATACCAAGGAAAACCAGCAATAGCAGCTGGTTACAAATCTAGGGCTCCAGTGAGGCCCGGGTCTGCAGTAGGGATAGAAAGCGAGGAATTTTGCATCTGTTTGTCTCGCCTCAGCTGCTCTTTTTCCCACTTCCTATGCTTCCCCTCTGCAATCAATCATTTTTCAGCATCTGCTTTTCCCTTTCCACAGAAGTTTCCTGAGGCTCAGGCTAGGGAAGAGGCCAGTGAGGATGAGAGAACAGAAGAAGGGGCAGGAAACGGGGGTTTGGGGGGGGAATAAAGGGTAGATGGGTAAAAATGAGATGGAAAACTGACACTGAAAGAAGTGGGAGAAAGATACAGCCACATTCTGGAAAGAAAAGGACAGGAGAGAAGGAACCCAAAATGGCAAAAGGTGGAAGAAATAAAGCAAGGGAAACAATGTCAGTTCATACGTTCATTATCAAAATTTAATGCCAAAAAGATATAATAGGTCAGTGGTCTCCAACCTTTTTATGCTCAAGATCACTTTTTGAATTTAAGGGCAACCCAGGATATACCCTGCCCCTTCCCAGAGGCCCCGCTCCCGCCCCAAAGCCCCGCCCCACTCACTCCATTCCCCCCCCCGTCACTCGCTCTCCCCCACCATCTTTCACCAGGCTGGGGCAGGGTGTTGGGGTTTGGAAGGGGGTGTGGGCTCTGGGCTTGGGCCGAGGGGTTCACAGTGTGGGAGGGGGCTCTGGGCTGAGCCTGTGGCGGGGGCTGGGGTGCAGGATAGGGTGAGGGGTGCAAGCTCTGGGAGGAAGTTTGGGTGCAGGAGGGGGTGTTGGGGTGCAGGAGGGGGTGCAAGGTGTGGGCTCTGGGAGGGACTTTGGGTGCAGGAGGGGGCACCGGGCTGCAGCAGAGTGTTGGGGTGCAGGAGGGGGTACAGGGTGCTGGCTCTGGGAGGGGGGGGGTCAGAGCTGGGGTAGGGGGTTGGGGTGCTGGGTGCTGGCTCTGTGAGGTGGATCAGGGCTGGGGCAGAGGGGTGGGGTGCAGGAGGGGGGCTCAGGGCTAGGGTTTGGGGTGCGGCCTCCCACCGGGCAGCACTTACCTCTGGCGGCTCCCGGTTGGTGGCGCAGCAAGGCTAAGGCAGGCTCCCTGCTTACCCCGGCCCCACGCCGCTCCTGAAAGGGGCCAACGTGCCCCTGTGGCCCAATAGGAGGGGGCGGGCAGCACATGGCTCCACGTACTGCCCCTCTCTGCAAGCACCGCCCCCCCGCAGCTCCCATTAGCCACAGCTCCCTTTTCCCAGCCAATGGGAGCTATGGGAGCAGTGCTTGCAGGCAGGAGCAGTGCACAGAGGGAGACCCCTGCCCCTCTGTCCCCAGGGCTGAAGGCGCGTTGGCTGCTTCCGGGAGCGGCATGGGGCTTGGACAGCCCCATTGTGCCGTCAGAGGTCGTGATTGACTGGGAGATCCTCTAGGATTGAACAGTCGATTGCGATCGACTGGTTGGTGACCACTGCAATAGGTGAATGCATACATAAGGAATGGGTGATTCCATAAGTAAAGAGTACTGTGTGAGCACCCACACACACACACACACACACTGACCAAAGCCCTGACCCATGTATCAGTACACCTGTACGATCTGCTAGGCTCAAGGGCATTCTGATCACATTTAGTGCCCTGCTCACAGATTGCACCCAGACTGTTTGGTCCTGTCAGCCAGTCCTAGTTTTGGGCAGGGAGGAGGGGAAGGCTGGAGAGACCCTGGGCAGTGCCTTACTGCATGTGGGCAAGGAGGGAATTCTTCAGCCTGCTAGCTAGGCTGAGGGGGCTGCTTTGTCTCTCCTGCGCTGACTGGTTTGCTGGTCAGCTTAGGTGCCAGTCCTCCTCAGCCAGCCAGCTCCCACATTCCATGCAGCTGCTCTGGCTCCTCCCCACAAACTGTAAGGGACCCTACCATTGGGCCTGTTGTATTAATTTCAGTGGGCCCAGCGAGGCAAAGCTGTTACCAGACAGGAACCTGTAATTGTCCAGCATTGTACAGTTGTAAAAAAGGCCAAGGGTTGGTATACCTCAGCCTGCTTAGTACTAGGGCAAACACACCATTAATTTTTTTCACCTTTTGTTAGAAGATACAGAAAAAGGGAAATCAGTTAAAGCATTTGAAATGTAAAGTACAGGAGTAAGGGTTTCATTTTTAGCACTTCCCCACCCCGGTTATCTGGAGAGCAATGTCTGACAGTCTTTAAGATGGTACAGCATTAACTGCCCTTCTGGGCGAACAAGAAGCAGATGCCTGGAGCTGGAGCAATTGCTGTTGTTAAAGTCCAAAACTGTTTCCTAGAAGACAAAACCACACACACACACACGAACGAAAAGGTAGAAAATCCAGTCTCTGGCATTGACTCACACTTGCACCTTCACTGCTGGAAAAATTCAGGCATCACATGGTCTGATCAGCCACTCTGAGACCTGGCAAACTTGTGCCAGCATGGGGCTGTTCTGGGCATTGCTTCTAGCTGCCTCTCTGGGAACAGGTGTACAGCACTGTTGCAAGACATACAGTTTTGGACACCTAAGCCAGACTCTTGTTAGACAGATGGAAAAAGGAGAGCAGGAGAGAGAGAGAGAGGCGAAATGAGGTAAGGAAGGAAAAGGGCATGGGGGGACAGGGCGGTGACAAGAGTCTCACATTCCAGCTGTTTGGGATTTAGCCAGAGCCGGTGAGGATGGGGTGTCATCTGGTCTGTTTGGTTAGAACAGTCCTCAGAGTTAGGTTGAAGGCAGCACAATGGTGTCATGCTGGCTCCTGGGGTCCAAGGAGATGGTGAGGATGGCAGCTATAATGGTGAAACTCACTCCAGTGCTGGTTGGCTGTCAGCTTCTTCTCCTGCTAAGTTTTCCCCCTAAAGTCTTCTCATTTAAGGTTGCCTAACAGAAATGATAAGATGTGCCCGATGTTCAGGAGGTGGAGGAACAACCTGTATTCCTTATTTCCATGGCAAAATACCCTTCAATTTATTATAGCCCCCATTGGGTTTTTCTATTACTCACCTATTGTCAGTGTCTTAATCAACTGCTCAAAAAAGAGTGACAGACATTATCCAAGAAGAAGAGCTGGCTATGAGTCATGATTCTAAGTTTCCCTTCTGGTTTTCTACTTTGAAGACAGCTCATGGATTTGAAGCCTCCTTGCCTGAGTTTGCAAACCCTCATTTACTCAGCTAAGATTCTAAACTATGGAAACTGCTGTACTCAAATGGCAGATGTGGAAGAGTCTCTTCACATATTCCTTTTTGCCCATGTACATCTGAAGCACTGGAGAATCTTCCTCACTGTCTTCTGGATTGTAGAATTTTCCAGCTTCTGAGAGCACCCTGGCGTTGTTTAAAAAAAAAAAAGCAGCTTTATCACCATTTCAAAAGTGAACGTTTTTAATAGTCTCTCAATCTCCAGTATTAATTAAATCAGTGACAATTTTTGGTTGTTTAGAATCTTGCTGAAGAAGAAAGTTTTTACTAAGTTCTGATTAGTATTTTAAGTATCATTTGGAAGTTGCTGTTCTGGTGGATTGTATATCTTTGCTGTCTGTATTCATACAAGCCATATGTGGAATCTAATAAAGTTGAATTGAATGATGAGTGGAATAGCCCACCCCTTGTTTTTCTCTAATTAGGCCTAGTTTCTAACAGCTCAAGTTTGGTTCTTTAATTTTTGTGCTCCCCCCCACCCCCCTGAGCCCAGGACATGATTTTAAACCCAGTCCTTGAATTAGATCAGTCTTTTTGTTTGGAATAATTAATCTGTCTCCCTTTCACACCTTTTGCCATCAACATATGTTACAAGTTATTTATTGTGACATTCTATGAACTTTCACTCACCTCTTACAGTGAGCTTACAATTAGGGTAAATGTGTAGGTCCAGTTGTTACAATAGCACTCTAGTTCATTTGAACCATTGGACCCTTATATGATTGTCCACCCCTGAGTTTAAAGAAAAGCACTAGCCTGCTAAACAAGCTTCCCTCTTCCCCTCTGACAATTTCTACAACATAGGTCCATGTGGTCAATGCAAAAAATATCAGGCATATCAAAAATGAGGGGATGGTCTAAAATAATAGAATGTATTGACACATAAGCAGAGGCCACGGCACGTATTGCATTATTCATTTTCACATTTAGTGTATTAAGGTTCCCTCAAATGGGGCTATATTGGCCCTTTAAGGCCAGCAGAAGTGTCAGGGACATGGTTACCCCATTCCAGGAGTGCTGCAATAGACCCTTGAGAATGACAGAGGTAACCACTGAGAGAAGAGAAGTGGTTTTCTGCTAACAGTTGGCATCTGGTGTCTAGAAGCAAGACTGGAATGATTTAAAGGTGAAATGGAAGAGAAGTAAATTCTCAGCTCTTATGGGCAGGGACTGTGTTTGTACCTTGCTTAAAACACAATGACACACTGCTCTCAGTTGTAGCCTCTAGGTACTATTATAATTCTAATAAATAATAGGATAATATTTTAGATTTAAAATATAAGGGACAATGGAAAACATAAAAATGTAAAAATATCCCATACTTTTGTCTACAGTAAATCTAAAACATAAAGTAGATTGAATGTCAGCACTGGAAAATCAACACATGCTGAATGGAGTCTTGCCAAAATTAAACACAAGCTGAACCAATCACTGATTTACATTACATGTACAGAGAGAGGAAGCCCACTGAAGAGAAACTGCCACTTTTAGATATTCCATGCAGTGTTGTTGATTCCAGATAAGGTGGGTGAGGTTGGGCCAACATCTGTTGATGAGAGAGAGAGACGCTTTCAAGCTTACACAGCGCTCTTCTTCGGGTCACAAAAAAAAAAAGTAGTGTCTGTGATGCAGTATGGCATATTGGAGAGACTTTATGGTATTGTTGATACCAATATTCTAAATTTGCAAGGAATCCGACCAGATATGCCATGTAAGGCAGCTACGAAAATGTTATAATTTGCCAAGTATGGTGTTTATATGTTTGTATCACCTTTGTATTCTGAATTATAGATATGTATGGTATATCTGTATTTCAAAACTTGTGCTTGTACAGACAGATTGGTATCAGCAGTGCCTAGCCTGTTCAGTGGCCCATCAAGGGTTATCAACTGTACGATGAACTCATTGAAAGGAACAAGGGGATACACCTTATGAGTCAGCAAGGCATGTGGTATGCCTGTGGACAGAGAACTCTAAGCCGTTTCCATGCCATATGCTGAGGCAGCAGGGACACAGGACATACAAGCCACATGGCAAAAGGAATATAAAAGGCAGCTGCATCATCTCCATTTTGTCTTCATTCCTGCTTCTTACCTCTGGAGTGGTTTTTCTACAAAATGAAGCTCTAAACAAAGGACTGATTGACCCAGCCAAGCTTTGGATGTGTTCCAGAGGGATTTTCAAGCCAGCAAACTCACCAATACTGCTAAGAACCTGATGTATGGACTTTGAAGTCTCTGTATGTATTTCATTGCTTTATCATTTAACAACTCTCTTCTCGTTCTTTTTTCTTTATAATAAAACCTTTAGTTTTAGGCACTAAAGGATTGGCTGGCAGTGTGGTATTCTGGGTAAGAGCCAAACTAATATTGACCTGGTAACGTGGCTGAACCTTTGGGGTCAGAAGATCATTTTGTATAGTGAGCAGAGTTTTTAAAGAACTTCTCATCATACTGGACCTATGTGCTGAGTGGGAGCCAGAGAACTGGAATGCAATAAAGAGGTCTGTGTGATTTCTTTTTTAGCTTCTTGATAACCAGTGTGGAGGACCAGGAGCAGTTTATGACTGGTTGAGGAGTCTAACTTCAGTGTTGACCACATTTTGGGAGAATCTGCTCTCCTTTTTGCATTGGACTGCCCTGACCTCAGCATTTTCAGTGAGGGCTGCCCCAGGCACCCCGGGTAACAGTGTCTTGTTCTATTTCATGTCTTTAAAACCTTCTTTTACAATAATGGCGTGTAATGATGGCACACACAACTGCAGCGGCAACAGCATGAAAATGTATGAAATGGTTCAGCTTATTCAACTGATAGTTTACATCCCACTTTTCCTTTTTGGCATCATATTTAGTGCCCTGGCTTTATGGGTATTATGCTGTAAACAGAAGAAATGGCCAGAATTCAAAGCATACACGAGAAACTTAGTCATGGCAGTCTGCTCTCTGCTCTTCACTTGCCCCTCGAAATCTTTTTTCAAAGAGAGGAAAAGAAGCACAATACAATCTTAGAATCCATTTATTATACAAATAGGTCCAGGAACATCTGCATTATCAACCTTGTAGCAGTTGATAGATACATTCCAATCAAATACCCCCTGAAAACAAAATGTTTGCGGTCCCTCTTTATGTCGGCTTTTGTCTGAGAACTTCTTTGGATATTAAGAACAAATGCTACTTAAGTAAGTATTGCGACTGCCAGCTGAAGATGACTTCTGCTTTCAAAAGCATTTAAAAAATCACTTTAAAAAAAAGTCTTTGGTCTTTAGTGTTTGGGGATTTTTTTACACCATTAATCAGCTTGAGGTTTTGTTGCATATAAGTTAAGGGGGACTAGGTTATGCAGGTATGGAAGTAGCCAGTGGAGCCCCAAGAGTTATATTAATAGGATGGCCCTTTTGGAAGAAGGCTATAAAAGTTGCTGATCCTGCATAGAGATGAGGTTAAAAAAAAAAAAAAGCTTTTGTTCTATACAGATCATTAAGACACTTTTGAAAAAAAGAGAAAAAAAAAACAGATCCTCGTGTGTGAGAAAAAGTTAATCCAGAAAGCTGCCTGCATTTTTTCGGCAAACATGATCAAGTTTAGAGTATGTTTACTTCCTGTTAATAAAGATCATTTTGTTTGGGTTGTAATGGACTCCATCAGTGCCAGCTGCTCTGTAATAGAAAATGTTACAACTTTTATGCATCTGACCTCATTCAGAGCAAACATTAACTGCTGCTTGGATGCCATTTGTTATTACTTCGTAACCACAGGATTTCAGGACACTTAATTTATGTTACACATTTTTGAAGGCAAAGACAGCTTAAGGCCAAGACATCCTATAATACATGCACTAAATGCTAGCAGGGGCGGCCCACAACATTTTGGCACCTGAGGCGGGGAGCTCAAATGACACCCCCATGTCCCCTCGCTTGGGCCAAAACTTTGAAAGGTCTCAATTCTGCTTTCTTCCTGTTCTACTCCTCTCATGGTACTGCTCTGCTACCAACCCCAATAAAAGAGAACTAACAACTTAAAATGCCTTGTTCAAAATTTTTAAGTAACACTTAACTTTTAAACGCCTGAACAGCAAATGTAACTTTTCTTGTCTGCATAGTAAACACTGGTATTTTTATCTGGTTGAATAATCAAAGTGGTGCTTTGTGCCTTCTTGGTTCAAAGATTTGAACTGCTTCCTGAAGGTGCACAGTCTAGGCCAGCTCATGCTCTATTGAGATGGTTGCAAGGGCAACCAGTCTCTCCTGTGTCATTGTGGAGCGTAGATGTGTTTTTATTAACTTCAGCTTGGAGAGGCTGCGTTCTCCTCTGGCAACTGTTACAGGAAGTGTTAGAAGTATGCGCAGAGCAACAAAAGCATTTGGAAAGAGAGTGGTCATCTTATTTGTGCACATATGTTCCAGCACAGCCTTTGGAGTTGATCCTGCTGAAATTTATCTTGAAAGGGCTTTCAGTTCATCACCTAAATCACTCGCATCAATATCACGCATGTCATCATGTGTCAACACTGTCTCTAGTGCCCTGCATTGCTGGTGTAGGTCTTCTTCTGGTATAGTGAGGAGTTTTGGAATATCATACAACATCCCAAATATACTGCTGTGTTCCTTGAGCTGCATGAAATGTTCTTCAACTGACTGTATTGCACAATCTAGCACCTGGTTAAAGAATTCAACTTTTAATTGTTGTTTGGGGTCTCATGGGATTATCCCGTGCCTAGTAATCAAAATGTCTTCTTCTTCGGTGACTCTTGTATTCTTGAATGGGTGGGAAAATAGCTTCAGTGTGAAGTTCCTCTGCCAACTTCTGTGCACTCTTCAGAATGTTTTGAAATCCCTCATCTGACCGGCAAGACTGTAGGTATGACTTGGCTTTGTCCAGTTGTTCCATTGCTCCAGATATATCAAGGGCAACACCTTGCAGTCTCTTGCTTACAACATTTTTTTCAAACAGTATGTCATGCCACAACACTAAGCCACACAGAAATTTGAAGTTATGTATGTTTCTGGTGATTCCATTTCCCTCTGCCACAGTTCTCCCATGAACAGTTCCTGTCATAGCATTATCCTCCATAATGGCAACTATGGCATCATCTATCTTCCCAATGAAGTGTTTGATAGGCTTTATCGC